TTCTCTTCTCATGAGGCAGGGCTGTGCTGACCAGCATGGGGGCAGTAGGGAAACTCGCAGGTTCCTTGTTGCCTTTCTTGTCTTGGCCTGTCTACTTGGCCATTGAGATGATTTGGGATGCCCACAGGATAAGTGTTTAAATGGGCCCATAAAGCTTGAGGTTTGGCTCCCCTTTCTTGGTTTTGTTCAATTGGGTAGTAATGTGACCCACAATGAAACTATCTAGGCCATTTGGGATTGGCTAAATAAACCTTGGGCTTGTTGTCAAACTATATTTGCTGGCACATGCAAGCAAGTTAAGTAGTGCCAACAGATAGAGTTCATATAGATATAGGAATGTTCCTAATTTCGGGAGGATTCTCTTTGAAAGGAGAGGAATTTGGTCATTGAACAGAAATATGTACTGAATAAGTGCTTCACTTAAAGGAACTTGTATGTGATATACATATCGTCAGTCACAGGTGAACTGAGGAAAGCATGTTCTTGCAACGTGTTATATTTTGGGGCAAGGAGTGTTAATTCTGAAAGAGACTGCATGGCAATAACAGAAGAATTGGCATGCAGCCTCTTGGAAGCATTGCTTTGAGGACAGCATTAATTATAATGTTTTTTACTGGTAGTTTAACAAGGAATTCTTTGGACAACCTTTCATATTAGATGTGGGACTGGTAGGCTGATGCACGTTTAATGGCTAATGGTAGTAGACTGTACATAGGCATGAGAGTTCAGACTTTTTCCATTAGGGTTAATATTTTGCTCATGTTTATATCACACCATCTGCAGCAAGATTCACTTCAAACTCCTTTAGTCTGAATCATCTGCTTTAGAGTTACTAGGGATGAGTTTCTTCTTAGGTTGCAAATCTACTGAGATGGGTTCTCGTGCACTGAATGCAAGCCGAAGGAGCTGTGCTAGGGTTAGAAGCTGCACAGTATTTCTTTCCCACACATTGGAGTAAAGAAGAAATTGAGAATTTCTCAACCCACCCCGAGATAGGATAGCCTTATGTCAGCACACACGGGAAGGAATACATTAAGTGTCATCTTTCTAGACTTGTGGACCTCATCTGGTCCTCTGTGATTTTATCTCACAAGAACATCTTTTGGATGAAGTGTGAATTTTAGATTTGTTCTTCTTTGAAGTGAAGGACGCCATAATTCTAATTTCTTGTATTTAATGTTTAAAGGCTGCATTTCTCTACTAACCATGCAGAGCTAGAAAAATAAATGTTGCATGCAGTGCTTGGTTGACAAAAATTTGTTTGAAGCATTGAAATATTTAAAGATCAGAACACCCACTGGGACAGAAAATGAGCCCATGCTGTAAAACAGTGCAGTATATAAAGAATCAGTAGCCCCTGATGATTACTGCTAATGTGGTATTAATGTTTTTCTTGGTAATGTAATACATCCAGAGTATACAAGCACTATAATAATAACAACAGTTATAAACTTGGATCATGGCCAGGGCACCCAATTCAAATGGTACAATACATTGTAGAGAATACTAATTCTTTGTGATATTCTGATGCTTTATCAATAACTGAAGGCAAAACCAATTCTCAGTTTATGTAAATGCCAGCTGGATTCTTCAGTCCTTCCTTGGTCAAAATTCTCACTGAGATGTGTGATAACTGTGCATGTGTAAGGATGGCAAAAGTAAGCCCTGTGTTTACAGGGAATTTCAATGGAAGTCACAGATGCTTTTCTGATTTATGGACAAAATGAGGAGGTTGGAAGAAGGGGAAGTTAGAAGGCATAAGGCTTTGTGAATTTAGTTTTGCTTTCACTAAGTCTCTTGGGAACACCCTGAAGAGATGTCAGATGTGGAAGCACCTTTTGATGGAGAATGCAGAGAGTTCCCTGTAGAGGGAAAGAAAAAGCACCTTCAGACACAGATCCTGAGTATAACAGACATTTCCATGATTTATGACATTGCTTTCATTAGAGACTCTGAAGTCCCAATACAATAAACATTTTGCAACCTGGGCATGCTAGCCTTGTACCATCAGCTGAAACCTGGGAGAGAAATTAACTTTATTATGAACACTTCTGAAACTGAAATAGCTGTTTTTATGTTCAGTCAGAGAGAAATGCAAAAAAACTTAACAGAGAACAAAGAAAAAAAACAAGTAACAAAACCAAATAACATGCTAATTTAAATTAAAAGTGTGCAAGGGATCCTTAACCTGATGGTGCTGTCTGCTGCAGTCTGGCTCTGTCTGCCTACCCTTCAAAATTTAAAGCAGTAAGCAGTGTGGCATGGAGATGCAGACCTGGCTGCAGCTGATGTGATTTGGGTGCAGAAGCAGCAGAGTAGGTTGTGCTTCCCTGAAGGTAGGGTTTGGTACCTGAAGTGTTGTGGGTTTAACTGCTTTCAGACTATTGAGCTGTTGTGTTGGTAAGGAACACGTATTTAACATGACAACCTCTGCATCACTATTCCATAGGAGAGGCACCAAGGGTAGTCAGATGCTGATACACTGCAACACCTTCGGCAAAGAGCATCAGTGGTCAAGAAAATATTTTCATACTGACAACAGGACTGCTTTTGCTGAAATTAGCAAACACATTTGTGAGGTGGAGTATTCTTTCCTGTTTTGATAGAATGTGTTTGGTTTCCTGACAGTTCATAAATTTCCATAATTTTCGATGAATCTTTAGGCAGCACTGGGTGAAATTCATTATTTGCAGAGGAACAACTCAGAAGCCTGGTGCTGCAGGTAAATGACATCCTAGTGTGGGTCTGCTGAATAGGGAAATGCATTTTAGTGGCTGTTTTGGACATGAAAGTATTGAAAAGGACAAAGTTAACTGCATAGGGAAGGACAATATTGAGGTATTCCTTATGAGGTGCAATGTCTGCAATGTCAGCTGTCAAATGGGCTGACTTGTAAGTCTGTAGCAGATATGCAGGAGGTTTTCTGCTCCATGCTGCCTGTTTATAATCTCATCCACCTTCCAAACCTCGGTGGGCTAATTTCAGCATAACCCTCCCCCCCCATTGTAATGGAATAGAGGGATCTGGCCTGGAGAATGCTTCTCTTCCCTTGCATGAAAAGCTCTTTGCCAGAATCACACCTTGCAAAAAGTGCATGGGAAGCTGCTGGATCAGTAATAAGATGGTGCTGTATGTATAGAGTGCCTTTAGCTGAAGGTTTTGTTTCTCTTTCATTAGTGTGACTTGCCTTGTGAAAGGCAAAGTGGATGTTATCCTCTACAAATCTGGCATCCAGTGATTGAACTTGAGTCTGTATCTTTTTGTATTTAATCTCGAAAGGCCCAATTTCTTCAAGATTTACTGTAAAATCACTTTTGTCTGAGTAAAGTCCGCAAGCGTAGGTCTGTCTGTTGGCATTAATTAAAACAAGACATTTCTCCATAAAAGCAGCAGACCTTCAGAAATTGCAAGGGCACAACTTGTAGCTTCCTCATTAAGGACATTTTCCCAAATAGAATGAAACAAAGGGTTTTGTTACTTCCTGATCTTCCTTCTTTTCGATGTTAACAATTGTGGAGACTCATATATTTTCATCCACGCTTTTCTTGTAATTGGTCAGTACATTGAAATATCTTTTGACATTTTTTTTTTCCCTCAATATCACTTGAATTGAATATATTTTTTTTCCTGGCTTTTACTAGGCCAGAAGTCTAGTTTTATGTGAGCACTTTTATGCATTTGGAAATGTAAGACCTGATTTCCTTAAAATTGCTTTTATAGATTGCAAGAAAAAAAATGTACAACACAGAGATGATAGGTAATGTGCTTTAAAATTAATGTTCTGAAAGCTCAAGAAGTTCTACTGTGATAATTCAAAATATCAATCAATTTCTACATTAAATTCTATAACAGGATTGTAAAACAAATCTTAATGAAACCCATTCATTGGAGAATTTGTTAATGCACTTTTGAAATACATATAGATAAAAGTGAGCAGGGAGTAAAGTCTCGTCAAATGCTTTTAAGGCTATAATCAGTAAATCAAATGACTTCTTTAAACTGAAGAAAGATTCATATAATCAATGCAACTAAAGCATGAGTTTTCCTGGATTAGTTTTAAGATCAGATGAGAGGGGAAAGAAACCTCTGACCAACTGAATGATCAAGTCTCGCTGCTAAACAGTGTTTTTGTTCTTTAATAAGAGTGGTGCAATGTATGACTCTTAGCAACTGATGAACTTTCTAATTTCTGTAAATTATCTAATTATCTCATGATAAGGTTGCATTTGTGTGAATGTTGTGTTTGGGTTTTGTTTTTAATTGTTGTTGTTAGTTCCTCAGAATGGACACTACTTCAAGGGTAGGTGAAGAACTATGCTATGCATAAAATGCATATGGCAGCTTTGGTACCCTTGTAGTGCAATTTCAGCTATTCTTGTTCCATTATTCTTCGGTAATTGTTTTTATTTTTTAAAAAAATACAGATGATTATGAAGATTTTACAGCTACTAGTGTTGGAAAGATATTATTTTCAATTTGAAATTTTCTCATGGTAGAGGCCTGCAGTAAAATATTTTCTGTAACAATCCAAAGTAACAAATGTTGAGATGGAACCAGTAGTTTTTATCTATACTGCTGGTTGCAATTAACATTCATTTTCTATAATGACTTAAACTGAGTCAGTTGAAGCTATTGTTTTAGTTAGTGTCTCTCTTGTTATTTGTGATAAATATGATGAAATATATTTTTTAATAATTCTTTTCAGCCTGCACTTGCACTATGCCCTGGAGTACACAAGACAGTTTAAGTCATATTTGAATACACATGAAATGCCTGCATTTAGAGGATTGTGTTTGTGCTTTGGCAACCAAGGAGCTTTTACATCCATTTTTGTTTTTGTAAAGTAAATTAATATAGAAAACACGTAAGCCCAAATGAACCTGTCTGTAGGGTTTTATAATAGCTTTTTTGTACTAGATTGAGGCTGCAGCTTAAAAATTTTGACCTCAGTATTAAGGATGTACAATTTTGAGGCCTCTATATTGTTATTCTGTAGAGAGATGGTGGTGTTCAATCGAATACATAAACAACTATGCAATTCTACTCCAGGAATGAAATCAAGAGGATACTGTGGATGTGAGTATCCTTGTAACACCAGTGACTTCTGCAGGAGGATGTGGGTGGAAAAGCAGAATTTATTCTTCTTATTCTACCATATGAATGGTCTTTCTGTCATTTGAGCAGGTCTGTACTTGCTTTGACTACAGTTACAGCAATTTTGTTAAGATGAAAATGTAGTTGGACTCTGAAGTGCAAGCCTCGAATCCCATGTAAGCAAAGAAAGGATTGAATAAGTACTTGAAATTCAGTTTGACTTATTTTTACTGATTGAGGGCCATATTTTGATTTCTGCAGTTACATTTGAACAATGTAACTAATCAGTCTGACTAAATGCTTCTGTTTTTTTTTTTTCAAAGCTAAGACTAAACATGAGCAAAAATTCACACATACCTATCCTTTGGTAGCAATTTTGACAGGCAAAGTTTGATTTCCTTGTATTGGGAAAAAATTAAACAGAAATGAAGCAGTGTCTCTTTTCCCCATGTCTGAGTGATGCTGTTTGTGATGCAAAGTCACAAGTTTGTAAACAGCAGAATTGTTTGGATGTTTGTCTGCCCCTTATTCTTAAGCTGGCTGTGACATAGCACCTGTGCAGCTTTGTGCCCAGCTAAGGGGGCAGTAGCTAAGGAGGTTGTATCTCTCCCACTATTTCCAGTGACCACGAGTAGGGTAAGAAACATATATACTCAGCAGTTCTTCTAGTTCTGCTCTATGATTTGTGCTTGGTAATGCTAGGGGTCTAGGTTTGCTCCGCTCAAGATCCATGAGAGGAGTTTGAGACTTGATAAAAAGTGACCTGCTGGTCTCAGTAACCAGTGCTATGCAGGAGGGCAATTCCTATTCTGTCGGAGACTGATGGGAGAACTAGCAAGTTTGATGAGGAGCAGGTCTTCCCACCACGGTGAGCCTGGATCTCCCTTCTCTCAGACGGGGATAAATTAGGAGCAAACCTTTTGAGTTTTGTATTTGTGTGCTGACTGTGGGGAAAAGATATCAATCTATTTAAATTACGTTTGTGCACTACACAAACATGAGCACACTTGTGGCCGCTTTGACAGACCCACATATGTGATGGTGCAGTGGGCAGCAGCCTTTGTTATCACCAAGGTCTGCACTACAAATCCCTGAGCAGAGGTTTTCCCTTAGCTTCCTCTGTGCAACGTGCGAACACGTCTGCAATGTGGGAGGGAACGTGTCTGGCAGTGCTGTGAGAATATGTCTGACTACTGGTCTCTGACATTCTGACAGTGTGTCCCAGAAGAGGACCTGTGCGTCACTGAAGGGACAGGGAAGGCAGAACTGGTGGGCTGGCCTGTGGAACAAGGTGGGGATCTGAGCTTGGCAAGGTCTGCCTTAGAGGAGAAGCTGGGTTGCAATGGGTGTGAATGTGTAGCTGTGCAGGGGACTGGTTGGGAGGAAGCACTTGCTCCATGCTCTTGCAAGGAGGTGACCTCTCCTCAGCCAGCTAGTTCTGGTCAGACACATGTCTATGAGTGCATCTTGTCTTCAGGCATTTTGGAAGTTTGAGCTGATGGACAGTTTTGGTTAAACAAAGCGCTATATATAACATAGGATTTAGTAGATACATTAGTTTTAGTGAAGAGTTGTTCTAGAGACTTCCTATTGCTGTTGTTAAAGGACCAATGTTATTTGGGAAGACATTTTCTGATTCTTCTGTAATGGTTTGTTTTCTGAGTGGAGGAAAGTACTGGTTTCAGTGACTGAGTGAAATCTATTCTTACATTTTGGAAGGAGTTAAAATTTTTTTCTGGGTGCTTTAAAGCAACCATATCTACTTTAAAGTGATAATCCAAAACAGATCTGACATTTGAGTGTGTAAAGGCTGACATGAGAGTGCACTGCAGTGAGCAGAACTGACCTGTAGAAAATGCAGGCTAGAAAATATGAAGTGAGGCACTTCACAAAGGAACCGGTGCTGCAGGCTCTCATCACAGAAGCCTGCCCTACTCATGCAAGTAACTGTGCTGCCTTTGTGGTGCTGTAGTTCTTACTTGTGTTTCTGGAGCACGATGTGCTTTGTGCTGCAACTCTGCATGTTTCCTTGCCTCCCAATGGTCTTGCTCAGACTGTGCCAAATGCAACACAAGCCAGAACCCTAGGTCTTTTACATGAGCTTGCCCTCTCCAGTTCTTGCTCAGTTCATCTTGGAGCTCATAAGAAGGGCCAATGATGCTTACAGCTTCTCCTTGGGACAGGCAATACTGCTAATCCAATTGCCATTGTGATAGAAATTGATTTCCTGGTAAGGGAGTCCATTGAGTCCTTTCAAAGAGGTGCCTAAAGTCACTAAATAGTTTGAGTACTGGAGCTATCACATGTCCATTTCATCAGTGTCTTTGAAGAGACTTTAGCAGTGGATTTCTTCATGGTCCTCCCAATCGACTCATTTCCTGGCCTTGTTGACCCACTTGTGAGTCCCCAAGAGGCTCTTCCCTGTGATGCTCGGAGTTCACTAGAGCATCCCTCATGCTTGTTGTGTAACAAAGCCACAGCTGTTTCCTGGCCTCTGGGACCCTGTGTCCCTGCGGATGGAGTGGCAATATTTGCCTCACTGGATGTTGTCTAATATTTTCTTATGTTAGGAACAATTTTTTAACAGATTATGAGCTGTCTCCAAGCAGCACATTGTCAAGAACGTCAGTGCAATTGAATGTAAATGATAGCAATGAGAACAGCCCTTCTACCTCTGGGTTATCTGTCAGAATAAACTATACAGGGGTGTTATAAATGGGAGTCCTTATTTTATGCTGTGTCTTGCCAGTGTTCACACAGGCTTAACACCATTGTCAGAGACACTCTTTCTGAAGAGATGCAGTACATTTGTCAGGTATGTAAAGCCTGGATCAAAGAAAGGTGAAGATGCATGAAGTGAGAACTAGCTGGAAGGGAGAGACACTTAGGAAACAGTGGGATTGGCGAAACCTCTGTCTTGTTCTTTGAATTGTTTGGTGCCCAAGATTTTTTCTTTAAAGCTTTGTAGGTACATAAAGATCTCTCAAATTGCTTGTAACTCACAACTAAGCCCAGCCTGGTCTCTCTGATGAAACATTCTACCTCCACCTCCCAGAGAGGCTCACCCAGTGTAGACTAACAGGGTTGCCTAGTAGGAGTGCATAAAGTACAGTGGTCAAGTCACACTAACTTAAAAACTCATATGGTGAGGATGTTGACATCTGTTCTCTTTGGTAGCTTGATAATTAGTCATTCAGGAGCTGAAATAAAGGCTGAGCTTTCATTGCCCTCAGGTAGCCCTGCGTCTTGTAGGAGAATGTCCTAACTGCTGTTGGAGGAGGGAAATGTGTGCATGGTTTCTGTGCATCCTTTGGAAACTGCCAGTCCAAAAAAATGGGGGCTTCAATGGACCAAAATATAAAGAAGTGGGAATGTAATTCTTTAGCTTCTGCAGTAATGGCAAAGAATCTTTGTATTGTCTGTGAGACCTGGGCTTATGTTAAAATATTAGGTATTGTAAATAATATAGGAAAGGGGAAAAACCCCAACCTTAAAATATCCCCCTTTTTCCATTGTATTCTGTGGTTTAACTTGGGCAGGTTTCTATTTGCTGTGTTAATTTTTTCAGCTCTCCTCTCCATCACTACTCACAGAGCATCTAGCTACAAAGTCTTTGAGAGCCAGGCATCTAGGGGCTCGACTGTTGCAGTCTCACCATTTGGTACTTAAATCCTCTTTTGGACTTAGGTTTTTGCTTTTACCTGTAAAAAGGAGGCAAGAGCACTGCTGTACCTCAGAGAAGCATTGCAAGGCTAGATAAAAGTAGGATTAACACAGTGATGGCCATCAAAAATGTGCCCTATGTAGCCTTCAATAAAAACAAAAAGAGATTATTTATCTGAAGACAGTGAGGTTTAAGTGAAAGGCAGGCAAATGCTTAATAGAAACTCTTTAGGAAACGGAGCGAAGGGAAAGTTACCTTTTGAGAAGGGGAGACAGTGGGAAGGAATTAATACCTGAAATAACACCGTTCAGATCAGGGCAGGACCTGGCCTAACATTTGTATTTGCATACTTTTTTGTCATTTTTTTGTACTTCCTGATGAAATTTAAAAATATCATAAGACAGTATAACATAGTGTTTATAATAGACATTCAAAAGCACTTGCTTAAGCAACGAGAAAGGACGGCTTATTCTTGGGAAGGGGTAAAAGACATGTAATGTTTTTGGAAGAAAGTGCTTCTTCCAAAGAAGAAAGCAAAAGCTATGGTATTTAAAAGAGACTGTGAGAAACAAAGCAGCTGAAATGTCCTGAAGTTATACTACTGGTGTATTTCATTCTAAAGAGTGTATCAAGATACTCTTAGGCATGCTTATGGAATTGACCGATGGATTTAGATAGTTACAGGAATGTTTTATTTAAATCCACTTGAAGTTTGCAATGGGGCGAAAGATATTGAAAGAGGAACTTAAAATAAACAGAACTCTTTGCAATTAATAGGTAAAATGTCTTGCTTGTGGTTGCAGGAGGCATTGATGATGACTATGTAGGTTTGAGCAGTTAGGGGCAGATCCTGAAAAGTAGACAGTGTGGTGGACTCCCTTAAAGGCTCCCCTTAAATATGAATGCCTCTTGATCTCATGCAACTGCCCAGCCTTTCTTTCAAAAGCCAGAGGGTCTTTGCAGCTGGGAGAAGAGCCACCACCTCCTCCTACCTGCCAGTGCTCAGGCAGCAGCAGTGCTGTCTGTCTTGGCACAGGTGTAGTTTTGAGATAGCAGTCATAAAAAGAGTGTCATGGGCAGATTCAGTGAGAATGGAGGTGTGAATCTTGCTTAGGTTTTTTTCTTACTGATTGAAACTCCTTCTGGCTTGTATTGCAAACAGAAAGTTCCTTCTACTGGTGTAAATGCTAACTTTGGTTCTTGGGTATCTCATTGGGCGTGCTGTGCTCTACCCCTCACACATGAAGTATTTGACCTTGTGTGGCCACCAGTGAAGGGAATTGAGAGGGACCATAATGTCTGCATTCAGGGAGGAGAAATACTGCTCATGTGTTGACTTGGCCACTGTTAGAGGCTTCACATTCAATCCGAGTGTCATGGTGGATCAGTGCATGTGGCACAGAGGGAATCTGTCTTCTGTCAAGAGATGAATTTTACCTGCTTGATCATCATGTGTTTTATTTGCACAAACCCATCTTTTTAGGCTTTTATACTTTTGTAAAAGTAATTAATACTTTTCTAAAAATAAGAATTTACTTAAAATTAAAACCAGGAATAATAATGTTGATTGCAGTGGGAATATCTGGGAAAAATTGTGCAGGGACTGAAGCAATTGGTACTGGGTCCTGAAATGGGTATTTCCTCTAATGCAACCATAGCCTTGTCTAATGTCTAACTGATGTGCTTTTTCAAACAGATACTAATTTTGTCTTGGGTAATGCCCAGATAGTGGATTGGCCCATTGTCTACAGCAATGATGGATTTTGCAAGTTATCGGGATATCACAGAGCAGAAGTTATGCAAAAAAGCAGCACCTGCAGGTATTTGAGAACAGATTTATTTTCTGTTAAATAGCTTGTAGTGTTGTGCTTGTTGCTTGAGGAGAAAAGTAATCTGTTTATTCCAGTTTTGTCTTTTATCTCTTGGGGCTACATCTGTCAAATATGCTTTCCAGGTGAAACTAAATCAAATAAGAGTTATTTCTAGGGGGGTCCTTTTCACACTGTAAACAAATTGCTTTATGTCTTTTTTTAGTATGTGACTTGAATTTCTTGCTTTATTCGCAGTTTTATGTATGGAGAGCTGACAGACAAAGATACAATTGACAAGGTCCGGCAAACATTTGAGAACTATGAGATGAACTCCTTTGAAATCTTGATGTACAAGAAGAACAGTAAGTAATTGATTGGTTTGTTCATTAGTGTAGGTGGGTAAAGTTGTTTTAAATTACAGTGTAAACTGCAATTCTGTCAGCCTGGAGAACTGTGCTTTATCTGGGGCTAAATGAGCCCCAGTTCTGCCACTTGATCTAGAAGGGAGAAATGAGAACATTAGAAATGAAAGTCACTCAGGGAGGCAGAGTAAGCTCTCTAATTTGTTCTGACGTTTAGAGTAATTTGTGTGTGATGCTTTAAGACAACACTGAAGAGTCCATCAGCAATGATAATACACAAGTTAGGTTTGTGCAAATAGTTTCCGCTACAGAGAACATACTTCTTCAATTTTTAAAAACTTGATATAGCAAAGCCAGTATTCAGTAGTTTTGAAATAAGCTGAAAGTTTGCATTCTGTAACTTATTTTCCTCTTAACAATTTTGCCTTCTAATCATGAAACTGGTACTGCCTGTGTACAGGGGAGGGGATCTTGCAGAAGCATCCTGCTAGCAGCTTCTTCCCGTTACAGCTCTGATGATCCTTTTGATCAGTTCCACATTAGTGGGCACGGGGGACTTTAACCACAACATATAACTCAAACTCCTGTGATGTAATCTTTGACAGTTAACCTCATTGCTGCTTTGTTTCTTGTTAGACCAGTTTTCTGGGGAAATGTTATCCAATCTATCTGTGTGTGTGAATCATTGGTATTTCTTTTGGAATGACCAGGTAGTACTGATGGAGTTTGGTGAGAGAAACACAGGCACTTCACAAAGGCTAAAAGATAATACTTATGTATGCTAGTGCTGATCTCTGGATATGTGGAGCTGCTTGTTTTCTATCGTAATTAAACTGTTCTTTTAACAGGTGTTGATGCCAAAGTACATGGAGTTGGTTTTTGTTGTCTTTCAGAGAGGAAAAAAAATCCCTGAGAAATTTTTGTTTCATCTCTCTTCTAGTCTTTTTCTTCTCTTTTCAGCCTCTCGAAAGCATCATGACTTTAAACATGATGCTGTTGCTCAGGACTCATCTGGAGCACAGTTTTGCTGGTCCAACTCATTTGGAAAGCTGTATGCACTGTCTGAATGGCCTTGTTTTGTTCTCCTGCCTCCAAAGTTTACCTATTTTTAAAAGCTGATTTCTGTTCCTAGCTTAGTGGCCATGGGGACCATATGCATCTCATATCTATGCATCCAAAGCCAAGTAAATAAGCTGCAGTCATGGGATCTAGGAGGGTCTGAAATTCTCTCTTAGTTAATAGTGACTTGGCACCAAGAGACTATGCAGCTACTCTTCTGTTGTTGCTGCAGCATATGGCCTGCAGTAGAGCCTGGGGCCTCTCTGTCTTTTATGCAGATTTAAAGCAAGGTAACCACTGGAGTGAGGAATGTTTCCTGCCCTGCTGTGCACTTCCCTGAGGAGAGGCAGCCTAGAACAAAGTCCAGCTGTGCAGTAGCTGTGTTGTGTGACATGCCAAAAGACAGAGCTGCAATGGTTCTGCTCTATGCACAGAGGGTCACAGGCATGGGAAAAAGGAAAGCACAGTTTGCTTTTAAGTTTAACAAAACGCAGGGCACTTAATGTTTGTTAGATTTCTGGCTTTAGAGATACATTAACTACTGTTACAGAGACTGCCTAATAACACTGGAGAGTTGTAACTGAAAAAATATCAAAAAGGGAACATCCTGCAGCTTTTTCTCAAAATAAGCCACATCATAGAAAAACGCTGTCATATTTAGCAGTCACTGATCACCCAGACTGCTAAGTGGCCCTTCCCTTGTGGTCACCTTACTTCTGCCTGCAACTATGGCAGCTGCCAGCTGAGGTAATGAACAGGGTTGGTTTCAACCTGCTCTCAGTTCGAAGGTTTTGGAAAGGACCCTGAATTTTTTTAGACATCTTTTTTTCCTGCTGTTTATTTCTTCTGTTTTGCCTCTCTGTTCTTTCCTCATTCTATTTTATTTCTTCAAATTAGCCAGTAAAACAGACAGGAAATAGATTTCTCCTATTCTTTACTTGTCTACTTGCTCCTTATAAACTAACAGTCATGATAAATAGCAGGTTTTTCTTCCATTTTTGAGTTGTTTGGTAATTGGTCATTTTCCACAATCTGCACATTTAACATAATTCTGACTGTTTTAACAATACAGTCTCTGTCCTTTTGGAGGGAAAAAGAAAAACAAACTAGGAGTTTTGAGTTAATTTTCTGCCTTCATCTTATTCACATTTATGGGTGCTCTCTACCCTGGCCTTCCCTTTTTTTGTCCAGTCTTCCCCCACCCAAAGGTGACTATATTCCCTGTTTTCAGAACTTGATGTTAAGATGTCATAGAGGTTTGATGGTTCCTTGGGCTAGGCCCTTGATTACCTAGCAGATATGTGACAATCATTGTTATTCTCTGAAATAATTGCTTCCCAGAAATGCAGAGCTCCTTCAGGATAATTGGAAGCAATTAGAGCAAGCAGGTGCACAGACACCAGATTTTTGTCATTATTGTTTTGATGCCATCCAGTTGCCTTCAGTGGGGATTCATGGTCATACCTGGAAAGAGGCAAAGCAAAAGCTTTCTTTGGTCTGGACTGCAAAATGACAACAGACAGGTTGACAGTAATTTCACATGAAAGCTTCAGTTCCATTGTTTGATTAGATGTGAATGTACAGTGATGCTTGAAGTATTGTTTATTTTTATATGGGAAATCAAAACATTGCTAAGTCTGAAATCAGTGGAAATAAGTGAACTTACACTGAGGAGGGGTACAGCCAAATGTATTAGAAAATATTTTGTATCTAGCCTTAGTCATATCTTACCTTATCTGAATTGATGCAGTTTACGCATCTAACTTCTCATGAGACTTTGAAAGCCATTTAGGTTTTTAGGCTTTATGGTCAGCCTCGTGGATTAAAAATGGCTGAGTAAATTAAACTTGGATGTTCCTTGTCTAGTTTTATATCTACAATGTAGGTCTGGGTTACAAGCAGGGCAAAAGCAGGCTTGATCTATATGCACTTACTTCCATTATTAAAGAAGTAAATTTTTGGTAAGAATACAAATTTACTTGCTTCTGTCTGCTTCTGAAGAGGTGGTGCCTATTTGAAATCTAACCCCCTTTTCTATCCAGTACTTGATCTACTTCAGTGAAAGAATATCTGAAGTGGGGTGAACTCTTCAAAACTAAGGTGCATCAAGAGTTATAGAGAGTCTTCAAGTGTCCCCTGTCTGAGCAAAGGCATTCCCATTGCTTATGGTCTGCAGCTGTGCTGCAGAGAGTGTTAAGACACTTTTTTTTTTTCTCAGAGATTTTTCTACAGATGGGGCCAGCAAAATGCTTGCCAAATTGCTGGGTTGGCTGTAGGTAACTGTTTTGCACACTGCAAAGTAATTTGGTTAATCAATAGCTCTTTGCTGAGTAGATATATTATGGTTATAGTCCTAAAGGCTGGTATTGACTTTCAATTTGTGCTGGGGTTCACTTCCCTGGTTTCTGGGTGCTTGAACGTTAAACAAATTTAACACCATGAATATTTGTATGGGGCTTTTTTTGTTTGTTAATTTTAAAAAAAAATTTATTTTAACATGTGCACCATCTTCTCCTCCCGCCTTCTTCCCTCAGTGCATTAGAAAGCTTTTAGATATCAGAGAATGACAAATAAGCCCAAAATAGTGATCTGGGAGATTCTACTCGCATTTATCTTTAGGACCAGTGCTTTCTATGGAGGTTAAAAACCAACCCCCCCCATCCTAACTTATAGGGAGCAAAGTTCATTTCAAGGTGGTAGACCTGTGATTGCCCACCACTAGAAGGAGAGTTTCTCATAACTGTTGCTGCTTAATACCATTTTAAACCATTTATATGGCGTGTGCTATGCCTCTAGCAGCATGTCTCCAGATGGAAAACTTCGCTAAACCATATCATTGCATAGGACCAGAAGCAGGAAAGAATAGGGGTGTTGGAGTCAAGTGACATGTATCCTCCTGGGCCTCCTGTTGAAATCTAGCTCCGTATTTGTCAAGCAGTGTGCACACCTGCATCTCCTGTGAAATCCATCTGTGTGAGTTCAGTTACTTTCAGCAAGGTCAGATCTAAGTATTTTTGATTCATAAAACTGATAATTCCCACTGATCTTGTCAAATTCAAATGTGTTGGCAAGCAAGACCTGCTGTCATTTCCTCAAACGTATATAGAACAGTAAGACTTACCAGTAGTAATCCTTAAATATTTTGTCTGGGTTAAATGGAAAGAAGATTTCAAGACTTTACTGTGCCTTTCTTTTTCTTATACTCACATTTTGTTCTTCAGAGAACTCAGAATCAGGTAAACCATATCAACATTACTGCAGTACAAGGGTGTGTGATGAAGCTTTTTCCTACTATGTTTTTTCAGTGTCATACAATAACCCTTGTGAGTAGCAATTGCACCTTTGGGGACTACAATGGATTTTTCCTTATCTTAGCATGTAAAGATCTGACCTTTAGAAGCATTAGCTGCCAGAGCATCCCAGTACCAGATACAGGAGACCTGCAGGTAACAGCTGTTTAAGTGCTGGGAATGTATTTTAGGATCTATTCATATTGGCACAGAGTGGTGAGCTGCATACTGAGTTGGTGTGTTCTTTTTTGGTACACACTCTCTCCTCAAAGTTAGAGTCTGTAGGAAACTTTTGTGCTTTGTCTTGCATGGTTAAATGTCACAGGCTTCTCTGAGCACCTAGTTAAAATGTGGGTGGATATTGTGGCTTGCCAAACTCTTCCTGATCACACCTCATCAGCTGGTTCTCTCTTGTGTGATACTGGACAAACTATTTGGTCTGTGTGAAACAGAGAGAAACAGTCTCATACAGAGTACCTGGGCATAAGTCAAACCCCCAAAGGGGTGACTGTAAGGGTCAGCCCTGCTGTTTATATAACTGAAGTCCTGCTGTCTGCATCACTGCATGTAGGAGTTGGTGGAGACAGGGCACATGCTTGTATCCTTTCCATTTCCATATTGCTTGACTGTTTACCTTCAGGACAATACCTT